CACTTCCTAATCCTCCACGCTGGTGCTTTGATAGAGCTGACTGGCATACTTTCACTTCACTCTCTACTATACCTATCCCTCCACCCCCTTACTCCATTTCAGATATGCTACATTGTTTTACAACCACGATCCTAAGAGCTGCCTATACAGCCATTCCTCGAACTTCAAGACCCTATACTTCTAAATGTGTTCCATGGTGGAATTCTGATTGCACCAAAGCGCTCCGCTTAAAACGAGCAGCCTGGAACAGCTATCGCTACAAACGAGGCACCCCTCACCAGCTATCAGCCCTTATTTCCTTTAAAAGAGCATCTGCCCATCTTCGCCGTACAATTAAAACAGCAAAACAAATAGCTGGCAAAAATGTTTCCTCAATTACATCTTCTACATCTATTTCAGCTGTTTGGCGACGGATCCATAAACTATCAGGCAAACATCCCCCCCATCCTGCACCCGTCCTCCATATTCGAGATATTCTCATCTCTGAGCCTGTCGAAGTAGCTAATGAACTGGGCAACTATTTCAGCCAGGTCAGTAGTGGCTCTCACCTTTCCCCACACTTTTCTTCCATTAAAACCATCAAGGAACGCACCCCTATTACCTTCACCCTATCCTCTGATGAGTCCTATAATGCTCCTTTTTCTTCTTCTGAACTCAACGCTGCATTACAGTCGTGCCGCAACACTCATGAAGGCCCTGATGGTATTCACTATCGTATGCTCCGACACCTCCCATCTTCCTCTCTATCCTTCCTTTTAACTATTTTCAACCACATATGGACGTCAGGAAATTTTCCTTCTCATTGGCGAGATGCTCTCATCCTACCTTTCTTAAAACCCAATAAATCAGGTACCCTACCCCAAGATTACCGCCCCATAGCTCTAACTAGCTGCTTGTGCAAACTACTAGAACGAATGGTTAACTTCCGTTTAATGTGGTACCTAGAATCTCATAATCTCCTTTCCCCTTCCCAGTTTGGTTTCCGACGTGCCCGAAGTACAGCAGACCCACTTGCCCATTTCGAGACATACATTACATCGGCATTTGCACGCCATGAATCCGTATTAGCCATTTTCTTTGATCTAGAAAAAGCATATGACACCACATGGCGATACCATATCCTCCAACAATTGTCCTCCCTAGGTTTACGTGGAAACATGGGTGTTTTCATTAAATCCTTCCTTTCTAAACGTACTTTCCAGGTCAAGATTGCCTCTTCCACTTCATCATCCTTTCCTCAATTCGAAGGCGTCCCACAAGGAAGTGTGCTTAGTACCACTTTATTCCTTCTTGCTGTAAATGACATAGTCTCAGTCCTACCACCAGGAGCCAGAGCATCACTATATGTTGATGACTTAACCATCTATGCATCTGGCACATCCATACCAGATCTCTGTCAATTCCTTCAGTCTGCAATAACATCAGTAACTTCTTGGGCCACCAACCATGGCTTTCGCTTCTCTACCTCTAAATCTTTCCCCATCCTTTTCTCTCGCTTACGTACGGTCCCCAAACCCCCACTCTTCTTATATAATGCTCCACTCCAATACCGGTCTTCTGGCAAATTCCTAGGCGTTATATTTGATTCCAAATTGTCCTGGCGAGACCATATCTTGTATATCAAAGAAAAAGCTCAACGTCGCCTCCGAATCTTACAAACTCTTTCACATATCTCCTGGGGCTCAGATCGCAAAACTCTCCTCCATCTTCATGTTACTTTGATTCTCTCCACTCTAGATTATGGATGCCATATCTACTCCTCTGCCTCAACCTCTCTTCTTGCTCACCTTGATACAGTCCACCACAGCGGTCTCCGCTTAGCCCTAGGCGCCTTCCGCTCCTCTCCAGTTGAGAGCCTATATACTGAATCAGGCATGCCGTCCCTCTCTCGACGTCGAGCCCTTCTCTCTCTCCGATGCTATGCTCGATTTCACCAATTTTCCCTTACCAAACTAACTATTCCACAATCCTTACTTCATACCTTTACCTCTTCTCCACGTTTACCAACTCCTCTCCCCGTACGCATGGATACCCTCCTCTCCCATTCCCCCTTCCCTCATCTCCGACCTCTCCCACTGTCTGTCCATTCCATTCCTCCATGGCTTATACCTAACCCCTGTATTTGCTCCTCAGTTTTCCCTGACCCACCAAAATCAGATATTCCCCCTCTCTATCCTTGACCTTATCCTCTCCATTCATTCCTCCAGCATTCATGTTTACACTGACGGTTCCAAATCCATCTCAGGAGCTGGATTCGCAGTAACATTCCCAAATTGCACTTTCAAATACACCCTCCCTCCTGAATCTAGTGTCCTTACTACAGAACTATATGCACTCCTTTTTGCCTTAAGACGCATATATTCATCCACCTCTTCCTCTTTTACTATTTTTACTGACTCCCGTAATTCTTTAACCCTCATAAAGTCAATGCACTCGACCAATCCCCTTGTCTGTAAGATCCAGAACTGGTTGTTCTATCTATCCACACGTCACAAATCTGTCAGATTTTGCTGGGTACCCAGCCATGTTGGAATCCCTGGCAATGAACAGGCAGATACTCTTGCACGATATGCCGCAATGTCCACATCACCTCAACAACGCTTCTCACATATTCCAGCTACAGATTACTACCCCCACTTTAAGACTTTCTTGTATACCCGATGGCAATCTTTTTGGTCAAGACTCCACAACAATAAATTACATACCGTAAAACCATCAATCTCCTCTTGGTCAGCTCCATTTCACAAAAACAGACGTTGGGAGACTGCCCTCGCACATTTACGTATTGGCCACACTCGCCTAACACATGCCTATCTGATGTCACGCTCAGACCCGCCCCTATGTCCTCTATGTAACATCCCTCTTTCAGTCCCACACATTCTCTTGTCCTGTCCACGCTTTAATACAGCACGTACCTCTGCTTTTCCACACCTATCCTCCCTTCACCGACCTCCCAACATATCAGACATCCTTACAGAATCTCACAGCTTCTGCCTCGACAACCTGTTCTCCTTCCTCAGACGCATAAATATCCTTCACTTGATCTAACTCCCTTACCTAAACCACCATAACTTTTCCCTCATCTCAACCTTTCAACACTACTAGATAGTTGACACATAGCAACTATCACCTGACATCCCCCTTTACTATACCTTCCTATAGAGCTATATGACCTTAGATGTCTAGCACATTTACTTTAACCATTAACCATTAGGGGTTGAGTGATAACCTGGGTGGTGTTTCAGAATGGTTAGAGTTGTCCGTGAGCGCCGAAGAAGGGGTATCAGCATCAGTGATCGGAGCCGTGGTCAAAAGAAGCGGCAGGGGTCGGAAAACCATCAAAATCAAATTCAGATAGGCTATTTGATGAAGGAGCAAGCCTTAATGCTGCTGGTAAGGGTAAAGGATTGCATTACTGGCCATTTAAACTGGGGAAAATGGTTAATGGTTAAAATAAATGTGCTAGACATTTTAAGGTCATATAGCAATATAGGAAGATATAGAAAAGGTGGATGTCAATAAAACAATCAACAAAGACAAAACGGAAGTAACAATATAAATAAAGAAAAGGTCATGGGGTAAACGAAAATGATATCTGTGTGTTCATTTACCTTATATACATGCTTTCACATCGCCGTGTAATTGTTTTTCGTCTTTGCACGGGGTCTGAGTGTGAAAATTGGCTATGTAACCCCATAGAACTATCGCATTTTAAAATCTGCGGAATAACTATTACATTCTGCCATAAGGATTTGCAATATTTTCATGTGGCTCTGGGCAAATCCTCACGGGCGCAATTTATGTCCAAAATTAACATGTGGCTCATTTTGTAGAAAAATAAAAAGATCTACAACTTGCTTGAGAGCATTTTTCGCAATTTTTTGCCTGTACTTGTAAAAGTGGTCAGCGTAAGAAAAATTTTTACCTCTTTTTTTCTTGAAGTTCCCTACTTCATATTTCTTTTTTGAAGTTGAAATCGACAAAACCCTCTCGAACAAGTTGTAGCTATAGGGTAGTTCTGTGCAAAAAATCAAATAAAATTGAATGTCTTATAGTTTTTTGAAGACGTGAGAGAGCCCCCCCCCCCTCGCTGCATTTTTAATTTTTTTTTTTTTAGAATTGTTTTTTTTTGACAATTCAAAAACTGTTTGGGCGATTTCGAAAAAAAAAAAAATCGACCACAGGCAATGGGAAGGGGCCCAAACAAAAGGGTGAGTCATCAAAATCATCAAAAAACAAGACGGTACCCTTAAGGTATTTGTAGAGTTGGGGGTGGTAGAAGGATGGGGGCATGTCGAAGAGGGGAGTATTACAGAGACAGAATAAGGCTATAAGGTAGTACCTAGGGAGGATGTTGGTGATTGATGAAGAAGGTTGTGGGGGTAGAGGTAATGAAGTTTGAGAGAGGAGGAGATTGAGTCTCGATTTGGGTGGATAATGTACTAGTAGGCATTGAGGGGTGGGTATTAGTTGCAGCGTTCACAGTCGTGGTCAAAGGAGAGCCTGGAGGTCAGGGAGCCGGGAGAGTTTGAATTGGGGCTATTTGATGTAGGGGCAAGCCTCATTGCCCCTAAGAAGGGTATTACATTTTCATTTACTGGCCATGGGAAGCCTTGACCATGTTGAGGAAATAAACAGTCCACCCTCAGGGTCCCCTTGAGGGTACGGGCTAGACAACTAAAACGGGGGAATACAGTGCCTATGGTTCCCTCAGGCCGTTCAAGACTGGCACAGTCCTCCTTTCAGTATGGCTCTTACATCTATGAAGTCCATAGTAGAAGGGGAAGAAGGGTGTTAACAAAAGAGCATGAGGGAGAAAAGACCATGCAAAATTATTCGAGTCAAGGGCTGAGGCCCAAGGTAGGGGAGTCTCAAATGTGATGCCTCAGTTAATATATCCTTAGGTAATAAAAGTTCAGGGAAAATTGTGATGGACTTTAGTATCAAACTATTAAATATTTTTGGCTTACATACACTCGAAAGGAGAATGGAAACATTTCTCAAGAAGGTATTTTATTAATCAAAGAGACCGAAGCCCATGTCATCATCCGACTCTTCCTCTGGCTCTTCAACCTTCTCTGGCTTCTTCTCTTCAGCTGCTGCTGCAGCAGGAGCAGCACCACCTGCAGCAGGGGCGCCACCACCACCACCAGCAGGCATGGATCCAAGTTTCTCCATACCTAAAACCATTTCAAGGTTGTATAATAATAGTCACAGTCACATCCACAATAATAATAGCCATAGCCATAGTAGTTACAGTCACATCCACAATAATAATAGCCATAGCCATAGTTACAGTCACATCCACACCAAAAATAGCCATAGCCATAGTCACATTCACAACAATAATAACCATAGTCACAGTCATTCACAACAATAATAACCATAGTCACTTTCACAACAATAATAACCATAGTCACAGTCACATCCACAACAATAATAGCCATAATCATATCCAAACAATAATAGTCATAACATTTTTTAATATCAATAATAATGTCAAAAATAAAATTAAAAATTTTAATAATAATAATAATGATTAAGGTATAAATATACCTGAAATACATGAATCAGTTTAAAATATTGAAGATGCAAATAACTCCTGTACACACCTTCGGCAATTACATTCTTGAGGTCCTTCCCTTCAAGTTCAGATACAACTTTCTTGGCCTCATCAGCATCACAATCAACACCTACTGAGTCGAGGATCTTCTCAATATCCTTGGCTGAGGCAGTTTTGCCTCCAAGGGCAGCAAGACAGTAAGCAGCAACGTAACGCATTCTGGAAATTAAAAGATTTACGATTATTAGACAGCAGTCACCTAATGTCTTTCACTGGACAAAAATATTCTCCATTCTGTAATATGTACCTTTGGTTCACTAAGCTTACTGTCATGATGAATGAGGCTATCATATTGCCAAATATTCTGCTAATGGGAAATTTCAAAATACAATGGCACAAGATTTAGGTATTGCTATAGAGCTTTTTTTTAAATTTAATTTTACAAAACCTATATATAATTTCATTGATATAACTTCCAAATGATATGGCACTTGGAAGTTTAAATCATGGTACAAGTATATATAACAAAAATTGCGAAAATCCAATCATAATTAACAAATTTCGTTCTGGAGTAACGGCCCCTTAAAAAATAGGTTATTTTGTGGGAAATATAGACTGATTCAGTATAACATTATGAGGCAGGGTTACCATGATACTTGGTAAAACTTGGCAAACCCATCTCAGAAACCTTCCATAGAATAATGAGGGGGGACTGTGTGAAAGAAATAGAGTGGGATAGAACATAGTTTAAGCTGCAGCAGCCTTATAGTCACCGCTAAATGACGAAAATATAACGTGTGGGCGCCACGCAAATTCAAAGTCCTGAAACTTGTTTACCTTGCCAGGAATAATAAAACGCTGAACGCTGAACTCATTACTGCAATGTTCAAACTAGTTTGTGTGTTACTACGCGCTTGTCAAAAAGATATAATTATCAGTGTCTGCTGTAACACATTTATGCTTTTCAAAGTCTTTTATTAGTGTTATTATACTTCATTTGTGTATTTTAAAATTTATCTATACCCCTGTTTAGAATCATGTGCATCTAGTGTTTCACTCTTTCTTTCGCCAGACACAGGTTGACACCCCAGCAGCCCACTCATTTCGAGGTAGAAATGTGGTGTTTTCAGTGTTGTACTGATTCGGGGTTATTTTTAAGACTTATACATTGGCAACAAAGAATATTTAGACTTAAGTAACCATCCCAGTTGAATATCTGTGCCCATCAAGGGCTCCAAATGACATTGATTAAAATCAAAGCAATCCAGAGGGTACAAAGAAGCAACTAAGGTTTGTCATTTGTGGATTTAAAGGTATTTGGATTATTATCTTGTCATACATACCGAGGGAAGAAAATGTGTCCCAGGGGGTGTTGGGGGGGCAGAGCCCCCTATCAACCTTCCCCTTGGGCACACCTAGTCACGGCAACTCAAACTGATATATTAGGCTGGTTAGTACAAGTTGAAGACACCAACACACACAGATAGAGGGAGATGGACACTGCAATTTTATGAGGAAGAAATAGAGTGGGATAAAACAGTACACTGCTGCCTGTTTACCTTGTGAAGAAAAACACTGACCAATAAACACATTACTGCAATGCACTAACATTTCCTCCGAGCCTAAATTTATGTCACGGCAACAATAGAAAGGCCATATAATAAAGATGAGCCAAACTTTGTCTGACGGATACCGAATGAAACACCGCTAAAGTAAACAAGTGCAACTCGCAATGCGTACAAACCTGATATCTGTTATACAAATTTTTCACAAATATAAAATGTTACCATGCTAACCAAAAAACGAACACAGAATATCAAATTAAATCCCACCCCTCTGCTTATTCGCACGATGTCAATTTATTTTTTAAATTATTAAACGATCTACAACTCATACCGTCAGTGTACAGACGAGATGCGGCGTGGAGGAACCAATTAAATCTTTTATTCTCCGCCGGACACATTTTTAATACATGCTTGGCAAAGTACCAGGTGAAGTGAAATTGCATCTAACTTTTCTATTATCATTTTGAGGGGTTTTGTCGCACCTACATGAATATATATTATAAAATTGTCAGCTGTTGTTGCATTTGGGGCATTTAAGGGCTACATATATGAGGTCATGCGACCAGCATATTCCTCCACGAATTGCTAGTACCCACCATAAAAAATATTTTTGAATAACACTATTTATCCACTATGATAAAAGATACACAATTTTTTCAATTGTCTTTAAAACAAATATAAATATAAATCAAACACTGAAACAAATATCTTTAACTTACATATCACATTGCACACAAGAATTGCTAGTTCCATCCACGTCAAGAGCTTACTGGAAAGTATTCAAGTAATGAACATTGTGTTGTTCCAACATGGGAGGCAATTAAGGTAAAGAGGCAGTAATGTTGTTAACAGTGAATCTACGTTATGATAACGGGATTATAAATCATAAAATATATACATTACAAAGAACAATACTTGAAATGCATAAGCATAAAAGGAAGAGAAGAAATGTTAGTAGAAATAGGATTAAATAATGGATTAAAATATTAGTAATCGGCAATGCTTCCATGTTGGTTGAAAGTAGTGCATATTCAGTCATTACTCCTTTAGTCTTACGTATTTAGTAGAAATATTACGTCTTTGGATTGCCAAAGCCTACGAGATTACACAAGATTTTTTAATTTTTTCGAGTATTTTTAAAAATATTTGTCAAAAATCTACGGCGACGGCCACCTTAAACTATGTTCCATCCCACTCTATAAGATGGCGGTGTCGATTTCTCTATCTACTCGCGTCCATCTCTGTAACCTCTACCCAGACAAAGAACTCTGGCTGTGGAAGGCTGCATTGGACTTAGGCTGTGCGTGTTGCGTAGCGTCCCCCCCCCCCATTAAAAATAATGCCTCTGCATCTTTAGATTACTTCTATTTCTTCCACTATAATATGGCAGTGTCCATTTTCCTCTATATACGCGCGTCGCCATCTTCAACCTCTACCCATATCTTTACCCAACAAAGTGCGTTTGAAAGATATAATAGTTTCTACAGTAATGAAATGGGTAAAAATCCATAAATTAAAAAATATAAAAAATGAACTTCAAATATACAACTTTTTGTTTGTTTGCATTTTGATTTCTCTCTTTTTCAAGCTGCAGTTGATTCCGATAAATCTTTAGAAACCCTGTGAAAATGCGCAGAGATCATTATATTGGGCTTTTAAAAAATTTGCATACTTTCATACAAATTTTTGAAAATGGAAAACAATGAAAAATGACATTTCCTTTGAAATTTTTGTATAACATTTTTTTACAGTAGGTACTGGCAATTTGTGGAGGAATATGCCGGTCGCATGCCCTCATATCGGTAGCCCTTAAATGCCCCAAATGCAACGACATTCATGTAGATGCAACAAACCCCCCCAAAATGATAATTGAAAAGTTAGATGCAATTTCACTTCCCCAGGTACTTTGCCAAGCACATATTAAATATGTACCCGGCGGAGAATAAAAGATTTCTTTAGTTCCTCCACGGCCCATCTCGTCTGTAGAGTAACGGTATGAGATATATTGTTTAATAATTTTAAAAATAAATTGACATCGTGCGAATAAGCGGAAGGGTGGGAATTAATTTGATATTGTGTTCGTTATTTTGGTTAGCATAATTTATATTTGTTTAAAATTTGTGTATCGAATATCAGGTTTGTACTCATTGCAAGATGCGCTTGTTTACTAGAGCGGTGTTTAATTCGGTGTCCGTCGGACAAAATTTGGCTTTTTTTATTATTATTATTATACGGCCTTTCTATTGTTGCCATGACAAATTTTGGCTCGTCTTTCATATAATTAAATTTTTTTTATAGATGTTTAAGTGGTATTTCTCCCCACCTCCCCCCTAGGAAATTAGGCTATGCAAGGACCACCTCCCCCCTTTGGAGAGGGAGGGGTACCCCCCCCATGTTTGGAACTTAGTCTCTGAGTGCGTCGCGGTCTTCAACAATTACCAATTTTTTTTTCTGAGGAAACTATGCTGAATTTCCAAAAAAACTATTCAATGATCTCTTAGGAATTCATTGATGTTCATTCACAATTTTTTTCATGACAATTCATAATTCTCTGACAAGGAATCAACTGCGCAAACACATATGGGGGGGGGGGGGGATTACGGGGGACATTGCCCCCCATGTGGGAACCCCCATAAATTTGGTATAAAAAGATGCAGAATAGCAAAATACATCAAATATCCAAAAATCAAGAAAATTAATTTTATTTTTTATTAATTTATCTATTTACTTTTTTATTTATCAATATGACCCCCCTCCACCCCTTAATTCTCCCCCCCCCCCCCAAAAGAAAGCAGGGCTCATCTTTCCCATTATACAGCTGGTAGAGGTTAAAGACACCAATGTGTGTAGATATACAAATGGACACAGCCTTCTCAAAGTGGAAGAAATAGTGGATAGAACATAGTTGAAGTTGCAGCGATCTCATAGTCACCGCTAAATGACGAAAATGTAACACGCGCTCGCCTTACAAATTCTAAGTTCATCAGCTTGTTTACCTTCCCAAGAAAAACACTGGCCCTTGAACGCAGTATTTTGTTGCCAAACTACTTCGTGTGTTACTACGTGCTTGTCAAAACTATATTTGGCTAATTATGTGTCTGCTGTTACACATTTACGCCTTTAAAGTCTTTTACCTAATGTTATTATACATCATTTGCATATTTTGCTATTTATCTATAAGTTCATATAGAAATGAGTGCATTGAGTCACATTTTCTGGCTCATGCTGCCAGGTGTCACACAGCGTGCGCTCATTTAAAGGTAAAACACCGGTGAGAAATGTAGGGGGGGGGGGGGGTGTCGCATCTACATGAATATATATTATAAAATCGCCAGCCGTTCTTGCATTTGGGGCATTTAAGGGCTACCGATATGAGGGCATGCGACCGGTATATTCCTCCACGAATTATTAGAACCTACCGTAAAAACTATGGTTGAACAACACTATTTATCCACTATGATAAAAGATACACTATTTTTTCAATTGTCTTTAATACACCTATAAATATAAAACAAACATTGAAACAAATATCTTTAACTTACCACATGTCACACCGCACACAAAAACTGCTAGGTCCTTACACGTCAAGAGCTTACCGGAAAGTGTTCATGTAATCAACATTTTTTTTTCCGACATGGGAGGCAATTAAGGTAAAGAGGCAGTAACATTGTTACATTGTTAACAGTGAATCTACGTTATGATAACAAAATTATAAATCATAAAATATATACATTACAAAGAACAATACTTGAAATGTATAAGCATAAAAGGAAGAGAGGAAATGTTAGTAGAAATAGTATTATATAATGGATCAAAATATTAGTAATCGGTAATGCTTCCACGTTGGTTTGAAAGTAATGCAAAGAAAACGTGACGTTTATAGAAAATGCAGGTATAGAAAATGGAAATACAGAAAGCTAGACACGTATAGAAAACGAGTTTATAGAAAATGGAGACAAACAAACGACTGCCCCAGAAGATCGATTTGGACAGTCTCTGCGCGGTGCGCAGCGCCGCCGTTTTTTGCCATTTACCGGTGCATCTTAAAATTACTTTTATCCTACTCTATTTCTTCCGCTCTATAAGATGGCGGTGTCCATTTTCCTCTATCTACACGAGTCGCGGTCTTCAACCTCTACCGACTTTAGTAACCATCTCAATTTTATATTTGGGCCCATCAAGGGCTCCAAATGATGAAAAAGGTGATTAAAATTGAAGCAATCCCGACGGCACAAAAAAGTAATGAAAGTTTGACGTTTCCTGATATAAGGGTGTTTGGTTAAAGGGGACCATCCCTGGAAATGGCCACCTTTCCCTACTCTATACATAAAAAAATTTCAGTTAGAGATAACCGATTGATTCTTTTTGCATGTTATAGAGTATAGAATTGCGCTCCGTTATATATATAAATTTTAACTTTGCTCCCCCCATCGGGGGGGGGGGGGGGGGGGGGGCACCCAAAAAAGTCGAACAATATTTTTTTTTTTGGTATGTCTTTGGTACATCCCAACTATCACAGCTCTTTACAGAATATTCCCCCAAAATACTAGTGTTAGATCAACTCTAGCCTATAGCCATGTAAAAGGCCGAATTTTGAATTTCCTTTTTTTTTTTTTTTTTTTTTTTTTTTTTTTTTTGGCGGGGGACAGCTTGACAACTATTTTTGATTTCTTTTTTCAGCATTAAAATATTTTTATTTGATTAAGGCAAAAATTCAAAAATCGGCCTTTTACATGGCCTTGGGGCGCACAGGCTCTAGTGAAAGCAACAAACTGCATTTGGATTGCATGAAAATTATGTGAGTTGGGATGTACCGAAGATTCATAAAAAAATGACGGAGCTACGGCGTTTTGTATTTGGCTCCTTGCCAAAGTTCGTTATCTGTTATCTTTCTCTGAATCTAATGATATATATATATATATATATATATATATATATATATATATATATATATATATATATATATAAAATTGGATGCTTATTTAGTGTACTTTGCAATGCAATGATTACCAAGTCAATAGGAATTTTCATGTTCAATAGGGACGCTATTCTGTAAAGGTATAATTTCTTTTTTTTGTTGTTCATAAAAGTTGATATTTTCGTGTGAAAAACTTAATAAATGCATTTTACCATAGAGACAACTAATCTAAACCAGATAAACATTTTTTTTCCCCCATTTTTTTATTTTTTTTTATTTATTATTTTTTTTTTTGAAGAAATGGGGAACTGTGGATGGCAACATTAGTACAAAATCATTCTAATTATAAAGTCCTGGCATGAATACAACATGGTGGTTCGATTTTGAAAATCTTAAAAGCATATGAATTTAGTACATTGAATTTGAGAACTTACGAAAGTCGTTGAATATTTCCCATGCCTCACACAGGGGGTGGGGGGGATGGTCACTGGGTGTTTATAATTTTAGAGGATGATCATATGTACATGAATGCACGCACATAAAGTTAAAAAGATTGATCTTCATAATTTAGTAGGCCTACATTGACTTTCATATCTAAATAATAAAATATATTAGTTATCCCTCTCATACCATTTTTTGATAATTGTAAATATTAATAGATTGCAAAGGAGAACAAGTGTATAGTTTATGATTAGCCATTTGCACCCATTATCTTTACTAAGAAGTGCATAAAATCATGCAGACGCCTAGGTGTTGTGGGATATTTGCCAATTTATGGTGCCTAAGACTTACGGTAACGTCTAAACATTCATTTTTATCGGGAACTCACGAAACGGATGCGATAGCTTTTTGAACGCCAGACAAAGACTATGCATACAACCGAGCTCAAAATTCCATATAGTTTTTATTTCAGAGCAGGTATTACTGAGTACTATCATCTTCAACATGAAATAATCTGTATCTCGCTTATACATCCAAAGTTTAAAAATCTGACATTTTGGTAACATTCGTATTGAATTGGTCTTTACAACGGTAACTACCAATTTCAAATCAATTCAAATTGCCCCCTGCTGTGATGTACCGACCGTTGAGCGAAATGTAACGGAAATATTTCAATCCTTCCTTATAAGGCCATTTTAAACATTAGTGCTTCGTATGTGATATACGTATATATTACCTCGTAAACTAATACATATTACCAGGGAGTCTCGATCAAAGTATATTTCGTGTGTAAAAGGACAAAATATACCTTTTTTTAAAGATATATTTCACAAAATATTGTCAAAAATCAGTGATATAATTTTTTCCTGATATTGGTATAAAAGTGTTCTTTGAACATTCACGAACTCATATCTATGCGCAATGTCATAATTAAATGCCTTATGCACGATTGCCGCAAGCAAAAGTCCACATAGGTGTACCTGGGCGCTCATTAGCGACGTACCTCTCTGGGTGCTGAGGGACTCGCACGCTGGCTGCAAGACAACGAGCCATAGCAGGCGCTTAATACTCGTTTGGTAGTTTCCTCATCCATGTACCTACACTATACGCTAACTAACTCAATTTAACCCCCTTCCCCCCCCCCTCTCTCAGGGACGGTCCCCTTAATATTTTACGGTGTGAATGCAGCTCTATCTTGCCGTACATACCGAGGAGAGAATGGGTCCGAGGGTTCCTTCCCCCCAGACAATGCCCAAAGGGCATGCCAAGTCATGGTAACTTGTATTGATATATTAAGTTGGTTTATTGATTAATACATTTTAGGGGGTTTGGAACGTGTGAATTCTCGTAGAGTTTTTGATATCTGGCGCATCTGCCCATAGAATTTGAAAGATGGGGACTACACTCGTAGAGTTTCATTAGCCAATTTTAAGCATTTTTCGTGTGTGTGTTAGTTTTATGCCTTTTTTTGGGGTCAATATGCATAACAGGGTAGGGGCTTACTTTCGAACTAATTTTGATATTTATCTGCATGAAATCCACTGATTTCAACGATTCTTGATGTTTCTTGTGCAAATGCTTCGTTGGTGAGATCTAAGTACCACTTCCGTCGACAATCTTAATTTGTTAGTCCCGTTAGTAGGGGAGGGCATGAAGTATATCAGGGAAATTATGGGGTAAAACAGGCTTAAGGGGAATTGCAAAAAAAAAAAAAAAAAAACTAACCCAAAAATGGCTAAAAATCAGCAAATGAAACTACGGATATATCTGCCATCTTTAAAAGTCTATGCACCGATGAACCAAAATTAAAAATACAACGTATCTTTCACCAGAATCTATGGGATTTAATTTTTTTTTTTTACTTGGGGGGGGGGGGGGGGGGCAGCTCTCAACAAATTTTCAACCTTTACCGATAAGGACGGACTTTCTTACAACTTCCTCCCTCCAATCTCTGCTAAGGGATTCGGGAGAGAATCATTAATTCCTCTACAATAAATGTTAAACTGGGTAATTTTCTACATTACCTACGCCTCTCCGATATCAACGATTTTGGTATCGTTGGATTCCTCTCTGTCCACATTGCAAATATATAGTTTTTATTGCGTGGAAACCCCCCGTTAGCGACAAACTTGGCCCCGATAGCAGGGGAGGGCAAAGAAGGTTCCAAGGAAAATGCGGGGTTGAATAACACTTATAACATAACCCCAAACCCACGCCGAGGTTTCATTTCCTTGGCAGGGGTTTGGGGACGGCAGCCCCCTCCAGGGGGGGTCGCAGGGGGCACAGCGCCCTGCAATGGAAAGTCATGTGAATAACCATGGTTATTTTCTTCACGGGTATTATTGGTTAGGTTCCAAGGAAAATGCAGGGTTGAATAACACTTATAACAACCCCAAACCCACGCCGAGGTTTCGTTTCCTTGGCAGGGGTTTGGGGACGGCAGCCCCCTCCAGGGGGGGTCACAGGGGGCACAGCGCCCTGCAATGGAAAGTCATGTGAATAACCATGGTTATTTTCACTGTGGGTTATATTTTTAGTGTTATTCAACCCCGCATTTTCCTTGGAACCTTCTATGGCCTCCCCTGCTATCGGGGCCAAGTTTGTCGCTAACGGGGGGTTTCCACGCAATAAAAACTATATATTTGCATTGTATAGATAGAGGAATCCAACGATACCAAAATCGTCGATATCGGAGAGGTATATAGAAAATTACCTTAAATTGTCCTCATGGCCACAATGAGATCAAGTGTGCTGCATACAACTACCATGATATTGTTAAATTAAAATCATTTGCCGATATTAAATATTCAAATATCGCGGAAAAAAATAATTTCCATTCCATCCCACTTTACTAGAAAACACTCCGTCCAGCTTCAGCATACTGGACAAATTAAAACAACTCGGCCAGTAATTTCCTTGAAGAAAAGAACCTCGAAAATCCTCAATACAGCAAACAAACCTTTCACACCCCACGTGTTTATGTTGACATTGAAACATATTTGCCTTTCATGTATTTTTAACGGCCAAGTTATGGTATAGACACTAACAAAAAATAATTACAATCCTATTCTCTTCATATGCCAAGTTTCTTTAGGCCTACAAGGAGGTAAAATTACTCACATTTAGGCCTTGAGGCACGAAACGTGTCCGCTCCACACGAATAAAATCTCACGAAGGAAAGACGAAAGTTCCCCCGCACGCTCCCCCCCTCCGCCCGCGCGATGGTTCTTTTTGCTTATCATTTTTCTTTACTCGTGCAATAATAATCCCATAGTTTAGGTTTTTTTCTGTGTTGATTTTATGTTGATGAGGAATTCTATGCTTTTGGAAAAGAATATTTTTCTTATTCATGAAGAAAAAGAGTTAAAATTAAACAAAACTCTGCGCCCCTCCTATTGAGGGACGAGAGGATATTTTAGCCAATCAGAACGTAGTACTTTCATAATCTATAATCCGATTGGTCTACAGGAACCGAACAAACCAACATCCTGAAAGTATACCGCTTCACCAATCAGAATGCAGCATTTCTCGAACATCATGATCTGATTGGACTAAACCGGACTCATCTCCCAGGCATGGCGAGTTCCAAAGTGACCGGAGTCAAAACATCCCTCACATGCTCTTCTGAAAAACTTCGTCAGGAGGGAAAGAAATGTCAGTTTCTTTCGGTATTTATCTCGGAAGTAGTTCGTGCTGCATTGCCGTCAACAAGGTACTGAAAACTGACATTTTTCTCTTGCATGACTTATGCTTTTGTTCACCTGTGGCCGTTAGAAAAGGTTGATCTTTTGGGAGGGCACTCGCTCAGTTCCTCGTGTGCTTTATTATTGTTCTTCAATGTGTTTTTGTTTTAATGAATTAGGTGTTCAAAATATGTAACCAATAAAATGCAGTTTGAATGTGTGAGCAAAGCCCAGATTTGTGTTGCAATTGTATATGCTTTGTCATTATTTAAATGTTGCAAATGTCCATTCAACAAATGTGATTTATTATTTGAAATTTCTTGTTCCTTAGTAAGATATCTAGGAAGTTAACAATGTATTTTGATAAAAGCTGTTAATGGATATGTGTCATTAGTCAAGTACAATTTAGTATCAGAAAATGTAAATAACAGTAAAATGAAAAGTAACTAAATTGGAATGTAACTAATTTTGAATGTTAAATTACATTTAGTTCCCAGGGTTTTGATAATGCATTTACAGCTTAATTAAGTAATTTGTGTTGTCTCTTTCACATAATGTAATTATTTCAATATTTTACAGTATTCAGCCATGAGATTATAATTGCAACTCTTGTCTACACTGTATCTGTTAAAGTTATTTAATTGAGATTGAGATTGACTGATGTAAACATTATTGATCACATTATTCAAAGTGGTTTTTTACATCATTATTTAGGTTTTCAGACATTTTTAATTAACTAGCATGATAGGGATTTGTCATTCTTTTGGAAAATAGAAACTCATTTGAAGGGAACTATAGCAGTTATGATTCATATTATTAAAAGTTAACTCCTTGGTGATGGTGACAGCTATAGCTGTCGTGACGTAACATCCTATGACATGTAAATGTATCATGATTTGTAGCAGGTAGGCCATCTACTCAGAACTTGGGCGTAGCCATAAAGTCTAGACTGCTGCACAATACTACATCACAGACAAATCTGGCCTTATCACCTTAGGGTTCAGTGCATGTAAATTTATTATATAAGAATATTATATGCATGACATCATAGTCATTATGTATTTGCATTGCCTGCATTGAAGATTTTTGGTAATTCCATATGTGAGGACACAGAACATACCAGTGACGAATAGTTAAGGAACTCTCAAACATCCTGGTTGGAAAAACATGCATACATGCTCTCTCTCTCTCTCTCTCTCTCTCCTCTCTCTTCTCTCTCTCTCTCTCTCTTCTCTCTCTCTCTCTTCTCTCTCTCTCTCTCTCTCTCTCTCTCTTTCTCTCTCTCTCTCTTTCTTCTCCTTTTTCTCTCTTTCTCTCTTTCTCTCTCTCTCTCTTTCTCTCTCTCTCTTTCTCTCTCTCTCTTTCTCTCTCTCTTTCTCTCTCTCTCTCTCTCTCTCTCTTTCTCTCTCTCTTTCTCTCTCTCTCTTTCTCTCTCTTCTTTCTCTCTCTTCTTTCTCTCTCTCTCTTTCTCTCTCTCTCTTTCTCCTCTCTCTTTCTCTCTCTCTCTTTCTCTCTCTCTTTCTTCTCTCTCTTCTTTCTCTTCTCTCTCTTCTTTCTCTCTCTCTCTTTTCTCTCTCTCTTTCTCTCTCTTCTTCTCTCTCTCTCTTTTTCTCTCTCTCTCTCTTCTCTATCTCTCTTTCTCTCTCTCTCTCTCTCTCTCTCTCTCTTCCTCTTCTCTTCTTCTCTCTCTCTCTTCCTCTCCTCTCCCTCTCTCTCCTCTCGTCTCTCTCTTCTCTCTCTTCTCTCTCTCGTCTTCTCTCTCGCTCTCTCTTCCTCTCTCTCTCTCCTTCTCTCTCTTCTCTCTCTCTCTTCTCTCTCTTCTCTCTCTCTCTCTTCTCTCTCTCTCTTCTCTCTCTTTCTTCTCTTCTTTTTCTCTCTCTTTCTATCTCTGTCTTCTATTTCTATCTCATGTCTCTCTCTATTTCTATCTCATGTTCTC